TGTCAGCTGGGGGCAGCAAACCGAGCAGGTAGACTCTGAAGGGTGTAGGGTTTGGGGTTTAGGGTTTAGGGTTTAGGGTTTAGGGTGTAGGGCTTACGCTTGTAGCGCACTGAAGCAGGACGACCCAGGTAGGGTTCGCCCGCGGGGGCCCCGAGCCGTAAACCCTAAACCCTAAACCCTAGACCCGAAAACCTATACAGCAGACTATAAACCCCAAACATAATCTTTTTTTCAGTTTGTTTCTACTAGGTAGCATTCAAGCGAAAGAGTGTCTTTAGTGGTTTCTGCCTGTTAATTCCTTAAACCCTAAACCCTAAACCCTCGCCACAAGGAAGGCCCAGGGGCCCCCTGCCCACAAGTGTGTAGAGTTTACTGTCTAGGGCTTAGGGTATCGGGTTCAGTGTTTAGGGCTTAATGACTCGGCTTTAGGGTTTAATGTCCAGGGTCTAGGGTTTAGGGTTTGGGGTTTAGGGTAGAAGGAGGGAATGCTGCAAAGGGGACAGCAGCAGCGGAGTGCCCCGTATGGCAGCCCACATCTACAGCAGCAGCAGCAGCAATGTATGCAGCAGCAGCAACAACAGAGGCTGCAACAGCAGCAGCACGTGTGGGAGCAGCAACAGCTACAGGGTAGGCGACTGCAACAACAGCAGCAGCAACGGTGGCATGCGCAGCAGCAGCAGCAGCAACGGTGGCAAGCGCAGCAGCAGCAGCAGCAACAGTGGCAAGTGCAGCAGCAGCAGCAGCGGTGGCAGGTGCAGCAGCAGGATCACCACCAACAGAGAAAGACAGAAGCTCTCTGTCTCTCTCCTCGCAAGGCCATCCCTCCCAGCAGCATCAACCACAGCAGCAGCAGCAACAACAGCAGCAGCAACCACAACAACAGCAGCAACAGCGGTAGCAGCTGCAGGAAACACCATTTCCAGCGGCATCCAGGTCGCCAGCTGACGGAGCAGCAGCAGCAGCAGCGTCAGCAGCAGCTGTTGCTCACAAAGGGAGGAGAAGGCTACGCGCGATTTGCTGCTGCTGTGCCGCCGCTGCAGCGCAGCCGGGCCCTTGAAGAGTCTTGGCATCCCCAAACCCCCGATTCTGCGCAGGTAAGAACCTGGGGTTTAGGGTCTAGGGTTTAGGGTTTAGGGTTTAGGGTTTTGGGCTGAGGGGAAGGGGACTAGGGTCTAGGCTTTCGGCCTTCGCGTTTACGGCTAATGGTTTAGGGTATACTGTTAAGGGTTTTGCACCTAGGGTTTAGGGTTTAGGGTTTGGCTTGTGCGGTGCAGCCTCTCAGCGTGGCTCAGTGGCGGGAAGTGTTGGGCAAATGGCGCCGCCAGATCCACAAGTGGACCAACGTACACCCTAAACCCTAAACCCTAAACCCCAGACCCTAAACCCTAGACCCTCTTCTTCCCGTGTTGCAGCCATAGCTGGGCGTACAGACTATCTTAGATGGCGTTCAGCCTTCAACTTTCTGTCGCGGCCCAGGGTCAAGGGTTTAGGGTTTAGGGTTTATGGTTTGTGCAGCTGCCTGCTGAGGTGTACGCGGAGCTGTTGAATTTGTCCGTCGCCGAGCAGATTGACTTGCTGCAGTCTCTGCCCCCCAGCAAGCTCGACGTCCGTCAGCTGCCTACAGCAGCAGAAACAACAACAACAGGAGCAACAGCAGCAGCAGCAGCAGCTGGGGAAACTGCTGCAGCAACAGCACCAGCAGCTGCAACAGCTGTCGAAGACCCCCAACAGGTACCATAGGTGTGGGTTAAGGGTTTAGGGTTTAGGGTTTAGGGTTTATGGTGCATGGCTTAAGGGTGAGCGTTTACGGCTCAGTGTGCGGGAGGCGCTGTTACTAATGCTTCGCTGTGCGGGGTGTTGCGTGCGTGCAGCAGCAGCAAAAGAAGCAGCAGCAGCAGCAACAGCAGCAGCAGCAGCAGCAGCAGCAGGTTTTGTTAGCGGCGCTGCTTGGCGACAGTGGCTCGGGCTCTGCTGTCACTGGGCCTACAGCCTTCGTGCCCAAATGGTTCCGCACAACCCTACATGCACCCGGGTCTGCTGCTGCTGCTGCTGCTGTTGCTGCTGCTGTTGCTGCTGATGCTGGTGCTGTTGTTAATGATGATGCTGCTGCTGATGCTGGTGGCGTTGCTGCTGGTGATGCTGTTGCTCGTGGTGGTGTTGATGTTGGTTCTGCTGCTGCTGCAGTTGATGCTGCTGTTGCTGCTGCTGCTGCCAAATTAACTGCTGCAGTTGGCGTTGCCGCTGCAGCTGCCGCAGGTTACAGTTTGGTGCAATTGCTGTTGCTGCTGCTGCTGCTGCTGTTGCTGTTGTTGCTGCTGCAGTTTGCTTTCTCTGCAGGAAGAAAAATTCAGAGAGGCCGCCGAGAAGGCAGCGAAGAGAATGAAGGGGAACACAGCCGGTTTGTCTGCTTGTATTCTTGTCTTTCGTGTTGTATGGTGCTGTCTTGCTGTCTTCATTGCTGCCTCTGTGCTTATTTGTCGTTGTCTTTTTTTATCTTTATTGCTGTCTTTATTGTTTTTTATTGTTGTCTTTGTTTATCTTTGTTTTTGTCGTTGTTTGTCTTTATTTTTATTGTTTTTTCTTGTCCTCATTGCTGCCGCTAGTTGTCTCTATTTCTTGTCTTTTTGTGTATATTTGTTTTTTCCTTCTTTGTTCCTCTGGGGCTTTTGCTAGGGCTTAGGGTTTAGGGTTTAGGGTTTAGGGTTTAGGCTTTGTGTTGCAGAGGGGGTTGCAGCTCCATCGGCTGCGTTCGTTCGGGCACAGCGGCGACTTGCTGCGGTCTACGGGCCCGCTGCTGCTGCACTCTCCTGTCTCGAGCAGCAGCAGGAACAGCAGCAGCAGCAACAACTGCAACCGGAGAAGCAGCAGCAGCAGCTGCTGCAGCAGCAAGTACTTCAACGCATAGGCAAGCAGCGGCTGCAGCAACTGCCTCTGGACATGAAGTTCCGCGTAGAGAACTTGCAGCCCCCCCTTCGGGGTGTCATCCCCAGCAGCAGCAGCTGCTTCTGCAGCAGCAGCAACAGCAACAGCATCAGCAGCAGCAGCAGAGAGCGGCTACAGCTGCTGCAGCAAAATGCTGCATTACTAGTGGCGGCAGGAGGCATCCTGAGCAGCGACGAGCCACTGCCTGTTTGTTTCCCTCCTTCAGCAACGTCCAAAAAAAAACAAAAACGGTTTTAACCCTACTTCTTGCGCTCAAGAGTTTAGGGTTTAGGGTTTAGGGTTTTAGGGTTTAGGGTTTAGGTCCCTGTCAATCAAGGATTTGTAACAGGAGCAGTATTTCGGACTTTAGTGTTTTGGGTTAGGCTGGTGCTCATGGTGCTGCGCTGCACTTGCTGCAGTTGCTGTTGCTGCTAATAAGATATGCTGCTGCTGTTGCTGCTGCTGATAGGATTTGCTGCTGCTGCTGCTGCTGGTTCTCATGGCTGCACAACTTCTCCCGTGGAGGCGTCAACAGGGCCCCCAAAGGCAGGGACGGGTCGAGGACTGCTGGGCTGTCTTAGAGGCGATATCCAGCTGACCTGGGGGTTTAGGGTTTAGAGTTTAGGGTTTAGGGTTTAGGGTTTAGAGTGTAGTGTTTGGGGTTTACCATCTCTTCAGTGAGGGCTTCGCCGTTTGCACAAGGCCAGAAGACTAAAGAGAGAGGCGTAAGACGGGACATGAGACAGAGCAGCAGCAGCAGCAACAGCAGCAGCAACAGCAGCAGCAGTAGCAGCAGCAGTAGCAGCTGCAACCCCTCCAGCAACACTGCAGCACCCTGCAGCAACAGCAGCAGCAGCAGCAGAGCTAACCGTTGCACTTCTGGCTTGCTTGCTTTTTTCCCTCTTCGTTCAGCACCCCAAAGGTTTCCAGGTGACGGCAAGGCCCCGTGTATATTGGCTACAAAGTTTGTGTAAAGTCTAGGGTTTAGGGTTTAGGGTTTAGGGTTTGCTGCTTACGGGTGCGCTGCATGCACTGCCGTGCTGCTGCCAGCCCAGCGGACAATTTGGTGCGAAGTCGCGTTGACAGTTGGGGGGCGCACAAGCAAAAGAAACTCCACAGGCCACGGCGATCTCTTTCATTTTCTGCTGCTGTTGCTGCTGTTGTTGTTGCTGCTGCTGCTGCTGCTGCTGCTGCAAGTCGAGCGGTGGCAGACCTTTGTCGCATGGGCCTAAGTAGTTTGCCTGGAGAGAGGGAAACAGAAAAAATTAATGAGTTAACAAAAACAAAGAAAAGAAGGAAGGACAGTAAAACCGAGGCAAAGAAACAAGAGAGAAGGACCGGCAATAACTCTCCATAGTGTTTAGGGTTTAGGGTTTAGGGTTTAGGGTTTACTGGTGGGGTGCAGGATCCTTGGCTTAGCGTCCAGTTGAGAGGACAGGGCGAAGAGGGCCCATCAGGGCACAGAGTAAGACAGGGGAACAGCACCAAACATTTTTTTTCTAGCAGCATTTTTATCTCTGCGTTTGCTGCTGCTGGTTCATGTCTGCTGCAGGGCCCGCTGTACTCTTCCGGGGCCTCGCAGTCCTCTCCTGAGATTCCAACATTACAGTCTAGGGTTTAGGGTTTAGCGTTTAGGGTTTCGAAATACCAGCAAGGGTCCAGCCTTCAGGGCAAGAAGCCGAATAGTCTCGAGTGCAGGGCGCCTCGCAAGGCCCTTAAAACATAAATTCGGGTTTAGGGTTTAGGGTTTAGGGTTTAGGGTTTAGGGTTTGCGTTTCAGAAGAGGGGACGTACAAACCGCTGTGCAGGCGTTGGACCATCTCATCTTTTCGGAACTGCAATTCGAAGTTCAGAGTTTAGGGTTTAGGGTTTAGGGTTTAGGGTTTAGGGTTTGGAGACATACGACGACATAACCGAGAAGTTCGTCTTGCGCTCGCATTGGCCTGAGGGTTGACGAATTGAATGTTTAGGGTTTAGGGTTTAGGGTTTAGAGTTTAGGGATTAAACTGCTCAGGCTTGGCAAGTGAAGGGAAATGGAAGCGTTAACCCCAGCCCCAGCAACCCTATAGCCTAAACCCCAAAACAAAACCCTAAACCCCAAACCCCTAAACCCTAGATGCTCTGCTCACCGGAATAGGAGAAAGGTGCTTGGCAAATGCCGTCTTCTTCCCTGAAGGGAAAAGAGGTCAGCCAGTAAACCCTAAACCGTAAAGCCTAAACCCTTACTCTGTCCAGTTCTCAGGGCAAAGGACGTTGAAGTCCCTCTTGCACTTCTTCATGCTGCACAACGACGACATAGAAACGCATTCAGGGCCTAGGGTTTAGGGTTTAGGGTTTAGAGGTACCATGGCCAAGAAATGAGGCATTTATCTTCCAGCTCTTCCTTCTCTGACTGGCTGACGGCGAAGTTCATTCGCCTTTGACAACTCCCTGCGGTGTCCAAACGCAATAAACCCTAAACCCTAAACCCTAAACACTAAACACTAGCTTTCACCGATGTAAGCTTCGGGCGCTGCGCAGGAGGAACCGTCGCCGGTAGGGGTCCAGGCAAAGGGACACAACACAGAAAAGTCATGGGGACAGAACCGTTGCTCAACGAACATCTCAACGACTTGCTGTTGCTGCTGCTGCTGGTCTTGCGTTTGCATCTGTTCTTGGAGCTCTTGTTGCAGCACAGAGATGTCGTAGCCCCTTAAAGGCACTTCCTGCACCCTTTTCTTCTCCACCATAGCCTCGTCGGCTTCTCTCAAACTTTCCAACTGAAAGCAACACCCATTATTATTGAGGCGTGTGAGCAATGGGTTCGGGGGTTTAGGGTTTAGCGCTTAGGTTCAGAGGCACCTCGCCCTTGCATTCGGAAGTTAACTCGACAATGCGCTTCTCCTTCTCCGCCATCTCCTGCTCTTCTTCTGAAGAAGGGGTTTAGGGTTTGGAATTTACGGTTTAGAGGTACCAGCTGCGACAGTAAATGACCGTCTTTCATCTGCAGACACGCCTTCAACATGTTGGGCTTCATCAGAGGTCTTTGAATGAAGGGGATCTGAAAGATATAGGATTTATGGTGTAAAGGTGTGGGTTTAGTGCCCGAATTTTGTTCACCTTCTCCGCCTCTGGGTCGATTTCCCGCCGGCACTGCGACTCTTTCTCCTCCTTTGTGAGTTTTTTGATGCTCATTTGCTCGACCTGAAGCTTCCTTTTCAACTCATTGCAGTCCTTTTGCCTTTTTTCATCGAAATTCAAGAGTTCGTTTATGTTGGAGGCAGGAGGCGACGGGGGAGAGGTTGGGGTGAGGAGTGCTGCCGACTGGAACCGAAATGCGAAACACGAGCACGAAGAGCTCGAAAAAAAGACCAAGAGGGAAATTTTCATTGACTTCTTTCAAGGAAACAACTTATTATGAGGAGTTTCATGAACCAATCGTCATTAAAACGCCGGATTCCACTGCTTTCCCTTGTCGGGCTTTCCTCTGCCCAATGGTCGTGCCTAAACAGCACGAGGGTGTATCGAGGCCGCAAACGTGAGGAAACCGCTACCAAAAAAACAGAAACGGAAACAAACGATATTCAAATTCTCTTTTTAATATTTCTGATGTGAAAATATTCAAAAATAAATCTTCGCTTCCGGATGAGAAGCGGCAGAAATCCTGCTGTCCGCAGGCCGGGCCTGTTTGAACTGAAATGGCGGCAGCCCCGAACACCTTAACTACGAATCAGGGGGTTCTTGCATTTGTATTTCAATCTTTTGTTGACTGTATTAAATTAATCTGTATCTCTATTTGTCCTCTTCTCGTCGCCCTTTCGCATCAGACAGGTATCGACGCTAGCATCCTCGCATGTCAGTGAACTAGTTTGAAGGAAAGCAACCGAGCATCAATGACGCGGATTGACATTCGTTACTTTCTTCCCGTCTTCGGCAATTCTTTGTTGAACCGGAGAGACAAACGCAGAGAGCGCGAAAACAGAATCACTTGGTGCTACTACCATCAGCAGCAGCATCACCGCGTCTTCTTCACCGCCTCAGCGCCGCCCCCCGGTTCTTTGCTGCCCTTTGCAGCGTGCCCATCGACTACAAACCAAATCGGGGAATTGCTCAAACAAATGCAAAACAGGGATCTTCCACAGCAGCAGCAGTTGTACGACGTGTACGGCGTTCTCGCGAAGTATCATAAGAAATTCCAGCAGCCCACAGCAGCAGAAAAACTGCAACCGCCCGATCAATAGGGAAGCTGCAGCAACAGACGTACCCCTACAACAAGGACCTTCTCCATAACCCCTTGTCGGCTTTATTTTAGTCACAGAATGCACAACTTCTGTCGTTGCGGAGGAAGACTTTGCTGTGATGCAGTCGAGTTTGTCGCTCGGAAACTCTTTGCGCTTTAAGACTCTTCATTAGCTGGCTGACCCTTAAGTGGCAACAAGACGAAAGCAAGCAGCACTAGCAGCAGCAGGAACATCAGCAACAGCATCAGCAACAGCTGCAGCACCGATGGGCCCAGGTACCAGAAACGGTGACGGCCGCACCGGTGGAGTGGCATTCATAAACATCAACTATTGGCCTTGGTGAAGCTGCAGGTTGCCTGCTGCTGCAGGGAGCAGTCGATTGTCCTCTATTGGAGTAGTAATATACACTGCTATTGCAGCCCATATATATATATATATATATATATATATATATATATATATATATATATATATATATATATATATATGCGTGTGTGTGGTGTGGCTGTACGATAACAGTATCTTTATGAATGCAGATACGTAAATGTTCTTGCATTTCTATATGCGTATATACATAAAGCATATGTAACTGAGTGTTTACATTGAATATATTTAACTGGATGCATGGGTAGGACCTGCCCCTGGTGTCGTCCTGAGGGTTGACGGAATTGCAGGTGATAATATCGCAAGTGAAAAGAAGGAAGCGAGGAAAATGCAACTTGAACTTGTTTGGAGTGCATATGCACCACGCATTGGTCCACTGGTCCGCATACCTGCGGCGTTTTATTTCGCTTATCCTTCATTATTACATCGCATAACAGCATTTTATAATGGCAAATAAAGGAATATCATGAGGAAGTAAAAGTACTGATATTGTTCCTCACCATAGTGCAGCAAGTGGCACAGACGAACGCGTACGGTGTGCGTGAAACTTAGATGGGCCTGCTAGGGTTCCGAAATTTTCTTCGGGATGCCAATGTGTGCTGCATTGTGAAATTAATTAACTTTATACTTCCTCTTTTTCGCCATATTTTAATAAAAGGTCAACCGAAGGAAGCAGCGAACATACAAAACCCTAAACCCTAGACTCTGAACAACCAGTGCAAGGTGACAGCAGCAACACCCTGCACCTTAGCTCCAAATTATCGGGCACACCTTCGGGGTTTTCTCTTCAAAACACAATTTTAATTCATTTTAATTCAAGTAGTTAACATATAGAGAAAAAAGGAGGGGAGGAACACGAGAAGGTGACAGGCAGTCTGGGGGCCCCAGGAGCCCCTAGGCGACGCCGCCTCTTATCGCTGCTCCCTAGTCCTACCTGCCTGCTTCTTGCATTTGTTTGTTTAATTGTTGCATGCAATTAACATCATTAAATGGATCATTAAGGTAGAAAGAACGCAAAGAAGGTCATTTGTTCCCGTCTTCCCTCGCCTCCCCAGCCACGCGCCGCCGCTAGTTGTTCAATCGACATAGCAGCGGCGCGGTGAGGCTTATCATTACTTCCTCCTCCTTTTTACAGAGATACAGCAAATTTTAAAGGCATTTACGTTTCAACAAGGGGTGCACCCGTCGCAGGAATCAACTCGATACCTCACCACGCGGATTCGCCTCCCCTAGCTTATCAACAGACCAGTAGCTGCACATACACCCAAATCTCCCATCCTCTGTGCTTTCCTCTTTCTTTCTCTTTTCTGTCTGAGGATGAGCTGCTTTGGCTGGTTGAGGCGGGGGCGCCGGCAACCCGCAAGGAAGCGTCTCCCCCCAGCAGACTTGGAACAGCAGGAAGAAGAACCAAACGAAGATGTCGTGATGCTGTACCCCCTTTATGACCCCAGACGGGTCGAGCCGGATCGCGCTGAGCCCCCGCTGCTGGAGCAGCGGGAACGCCAGCAGGGAGCATCAGCATCAGGAGAAGCAGCATTTGCTTCAAGCTTCAGCAAGCAGCTCACCGATATTCCTATGGAACTCCGCAGCAGAGAAATACTGATGGTACCCCACAGCGAAGACGAAGACAGCTCGGCCATTGACGAGCAGGAAGAACGAGAAGCAGCAGCAGCAGAAGCAGCAGCAGCAGCCGCAGCAGGCCCCCTTCAACCTCTTGAGGGAGACAACAGCCCATTGTCACTGGACTCGCTTGATATGACACCCCAAACGCCAGCTACACCCCAAACACGGCTGCCTAGCAAGCAACAACAAGTGCAGCAGCAACCGAAGAGGCAGCAGGAGCAACTGCCGCCGCCGCCGTCGTCGCCGCCGCCGCCACAGCAGGAGCAGCAGCGGCAGGAAGGGTATAGACAGGCTCCTCCGAGTGCCGTGTCGCAGCCACCGCAGCCGCCTCCGAGTATGAAGCCAACTTCACCAAAGAGCGGCTCGGTGAGTGTCAGCAGCCGCAGCAGCAGCCGCAGCAGCCGCAGCAGCCCAAGTAGCCGCAGCAGCCGCAGCAGCCGCAGCAGCCGCAGTAGCAGCGGCAGCAGCAGAATGAGCAGCACGAGCAGGGAGGAGGAGGCTGTGGATATAATGAGTCTGCCTACAGCGCCTACGACCCCTCGGGGTGTCAAGACACTGCAGCGCAGCAAGCAGCCACGGCTGCTGCTGCTGCAGCCCCACATCAGTCCTCACCCTGCAACAACACGCATGCAGCGCGAGGCCCGCCGCTACGTGCTGCGGTGTCAGCAGCTGCAGCAAGCCATCGATTTATATGCAGCAAGCGGAGGTATCCGTGCATTCAAGGTGCCGCCTCATGACACAGAAGGCTGCAACAGCTGCAGATTCACAGACTTCACAGATGTACCACTCCTCTGGTAAGGATGCAGCTGCAACTGTTGCTGCTGCTGCTCCTGCTCCTGCTGCTCATGCTGAAGCCTATGCTGCTGCTGGTGCACCTGATGGGGCTGCTGAGGCGGCTGCTGCCGCCGTTGCAACTGCTTTTGCTGCAACAGCTGTTGATGCTGCAACAACAGCCGCATCAGGATGCAGTGAGAAAGGTAGATGTGGCTGCTGTTGCTGCTGCTGCTGTTGCCGCAGCAGCACCTGCGGCTGCTGCTGCTGCGGTGGCTGCTGCGGCTACTGCCGCTGCGGCGGTAACAGCAGCAGTGAGTGATGGCTGCAGCTGCAACGTGCACAGTAATGGCATTATCACCTGCAAAGCAGTTGCTGCTGTTGCAGTTGCTGCTGCGGCAGCAGCAGCAACAACAGGTGTAGCGCGTCCGCAAGTGCTGTGTGAAACTCTTGTCATTTAGGGTTTAGGGTTGTGTCAAACCCTAAACCCTAAACCCTAAACCCTAAACTCTGAATCCTAAATTTTCGGACGATGCCAGTAACAGAGCAAATACAAATGATAAGAAAGCAAAATCCTTTAGGAAATAGTGCAAGCTGCTGCTGCTTATGCAGCTGCTGCTGTTGCATCAGCAAGTGTTGCAGCAAGCGCTGCAGCAAGTGCTGCAGTGCTGGAGCATGTGCCGATGCTGTTGATGTCCCTGCTGCTGTCGGCAAAGACAGGCGGCGGATGTCATTGCTGCTCATGTTTGAACGCTATGTCGGCGGTGCAGCAATAGCACCAGCAGCAGCAGCGGCAGCAGCAGCGGCAGCAGCAGCAGAAACATGCACTGCTGATGCTGCCGGTGTCGCTGCAGCCCACAACACAGCTTAACACCGGGTCACTGCGGGTAGCACAGCCGCACTCATGACGGCAGCAGCAGCTGCTGCAGCTGCTGCAGCAGCTGCTCCTGCCTGTCCTGCAGCTGCTGCTTCTGGTAAGCATCCTGCGGACACTTCTTCGAGTACAGAGCCCCTCAGGGGATCGTCTCCGCAGCAGTTGCCGCTGCTGCTGCTGCTGCTGTTGCTGCTGCTGTTGCTGCTGCCGTTGCTGCTGCCGTTTCGTTGCGACTGTGACGAAGCCCCTCGAAGCTGTTGGTGCAGGCGATCTCATTGCTGCTGTTCCTGCTGCTCCTGTTGCTGCTGCTGTTGTGAAGTGCTGCTGCTGCATCCTCCAGCGAGTCCAGGTGTAGCTGAAAACAAACACCGCAAGAATGATAAGTATTGTGCAGTAGAAACAGCTACTGCTGCCGCTGCTGCAGCTGTTGCTGCAGCTGTTGCTGCAGTTGCTACTGCTTTTGCTGCTGCTGTCGCTGCTGCTGCTGCCCCTTACCTGTACATCCACTGGCTCTTCTGGAGCTGCAGACCACAGGGAATACAAATCTGCCTGCACAAGCTGCTGCCGCTGTTGCTGCTTTTGCTGCTGCTGCTGTTGCTGCAACAGCTGCTGCTGTTGCTGCAGCAGCGACGGCTGCTGCTGTTCCTGTTGGGGCTGCGGCTGGAGAGCTTCTGATGCATCGGCAACCGGTTGCCTGTCGTCCCCTGCTGTTGCTGTGTTTGCTGCTGCTGCTGCTGCGCTTGGGCCTGTTGTGTCTGCAGTTGCTGGTGCTGCTTCTGTGTCGCCTGCGGCCTCGGCAGTTGCTGCATTTGCTGCTGTTGCTGCTGCAGCAGTTTCAGTTGTCGTGGGTTGCTGCAGCAAGGTGTATCTGCAGTGTCCAGCCATTTGCTGCAGCAGTTGCCGCTGCTGCTCCTGCTGCTGCAGCAGCAGCAGCCGCTTTTGGGCTTCCGCTGCCTGCTGCTGCCTTGCAGTCTGCAGCAGCTCTTCGAGCTCTTTGCTCATNCTGCTGGCGCTGTTGCTGCTGCTGCTGCTGCTGCTAAGGCTCTGGCTGTGAGACAGACGCAAGGCCACAGGGACGCTGCTGCTGCTGAACTGCGATTTGTAGCGGCTCGATTTGTCAGTCATCTGCAGCAGAAACACCACACACAGAAGAATCACACCCATCCGTAGGCAGCAGCAGCAGCAGCAGCAGCAGCAGCAGAGCCTGCAGCAGCAGCAGGGAATCTAGAAGCAGGAGCAGCAGCGAATCCCGCAGAAACCGGAGCAGCAAATCCATAAGCAGCAGCAACAGGGCCTGCACGTGCAGCAACAGCAACAGTAACAGCAACAGCAGCAGCAGCAGCAGCAACAAATATGCAAATGACCTTGAGCTGTGTCTGTAGCTCCTCTCTCTTTTTCCTTTCTCTTTCTGCTGCTTTCTCGGCCTCCCGCCGCCGCCGCTGCTCGCACTCTGTCTCGCCCAGCAGTCGCTGGATCTCCTCTCCCTGCAAACAAACCCTAAACCCTAAACCCTAAACCCTAAACCCTAAGCTCTGCGCAACCTGGGCGATTCCCTACAAGTCCCCGATATGCACTTCGCCAGCCTGAGACCCTAAACCCTAGACCCTAAACCCTTTTTCATCTATGCTGAACCCCAAGTTCTCAAACCCTAAACCCTAAACCCTAAACCCTAAGCCCTAGAAGCCGTGCCTGTGCTATGCAGAGAAGGTGCTGCTGATCGAGTTCCTTCGCCAGTCTCTCGAGCTGTCGCTCACGGACTGCCAGCACCTCGTTCTCTTCCTCTGCTGCAGGAGTCGTTGCCGCTTCTGCTGCTGCTGCCGGCTGCTCGCTGCTGCTGCTGCTGCTGCTGCTGGTTTCGCCGTCTGAATGACCTTCTGTCACTTGCAGCTTCGCTGCTTCGGTCTGCAGCGTCGCTGCAGCCGCTGCTGCAGCAACTGCAGCAGCAGCTGCAGGCTTCGCCGACTCCTCTGCTCCTTCCTCCTCTGCTGCTGTTGAAGCAGAAGCAGCAGCCGCCGCTGCTGCTGCTGCATGTTCCTTTATAAGGGCCATTAGCTGCTGCAGCACATTTGACTGCTTGTGCAGCGCCATACGTAGGTTTCTTATTTCATCATCTTGCTGCTGTTTCTGTTGCATCAGCATCTGCAGGCTTTGCTGCTGCTGTTGTTGCTGCTGCTGCAGCTGCTTCTGCTTGTTGCTGAACTGCTGCAGCTGCTGCAGCAGAAAGAAGGAGCGATCAGCAGCAAATGCTGCAGTTCTCTCTGCCGATAACCGGGCCTCTGCTTCTGCTGTCGCCCGCAGCTCCAGCGAGGCCACGCGGGTCGTGTAATACTGCAGCACCAGCAGCAGCAACCGCAGCAGCAGCAGCAGTAGCAGCAGCAGCAGGGGCAAAGCACGCTTCAAGCGGGAACAGGAATGGCAGCAGCATGGAAACGGCGTCAGCAAACAGTAGCACCTCAGCAAGCGAAACCCTAAACCCTAAACCCTAAACCCTAGGTGTGGCTCACTTCTTTGAGGAGCAGTACTAGGTCCCGCAGCTGCTGCAGCTTCTGCTGCTTATGCTCGTGCTGCTCCTGCTGC